TGATTTGACTTTTGAACGTTGTAATCAACAAATTCAATCATCAATGTGAATAAATTCAATTTGGAAGGTCTTAATATCAAATTTCCATCAAAAACTACAACAAAACATATTCCACACATTAATACATTATTGCCAATGAATGGTGCATCTCTTCCTACAGACACTGCACTTGTATGTACTTTCAAAACATTGATTAACAAATCAACATCGACATCTGTTTTCAATGCCCAATGATGTACTCTGCACAGTTACTGACACGGAAAATTGCCATAGAAAAGACACCAGTACAAACTATAAACAGAGATATAATATCGAAATTTCAACTGCTGCGAATAGTGTGGTTAGACTTGAAAACAATGCAAAAAAGACAAAGGATTATGATATTGTCAACGTGAAACAAGACGGTGTGACAATTCAAATAATAAAAGGTGGCATTTATACATTGAACTTGGGTGCGAGTGGAGTTAAAGTGATGTGTATTGATGATGATACAGACAGTAACAAATGTACAATTGTTGTCAATACTTATGTTGATACAAATCAAATCAATTTACTTGGAAAGAACATCATTTTGGAGGAAGACCTCAATATTGATAATGTAATATCCTATGTCAAAATAACAAGAGACGTCTCTTTGAGTACATTTGAAGCAACACAAATGTACATTAAAATAGTTGAGAAGGGCATTATAAGAGTGGAACAATATGCATCTTTTGGATCACTTTTGCTTGTAAAAATCACATATTTATGCATTTGAATCATTCGGTACTTCACTCTTACAATACATGGGTGGTGAAATTGTATTTGATGCATCAGACAATCAGGCTGTTTTGAACGTAAACAGGTTGAAGTGAACACAACATTTGTACAATCGGCTAAGGATCAGTGCATCACTCTGATTATCAGAAAGGCATTCACAAATGGTGAACCTATGAACATAGACGCTGTTCCAGAACTTGTGTGGAAAGGTTCTGTAACATTCACAGAACAGGGACAATTGTGTATTACGACTGTGGGTTTTCAAAACTCGAACACGTCAAGCGCTCGTGTCGAGTCCGAGACAACACCAACAAAGTTGCCACGCATCGTATACAACAGTGATGAGTCGTTGTTGTCATGGATGTTTGTTGAAATGCGAGATACGCCGGGAGTGTAGTACGCGTTGAACCAGTTAAACCCACACAATACACTTCGGCATGATCTGGATCTTCCCTCGAAAGAATTTGTGTGCCTTCTCAACAAGTGTCTTGTAAACTCAGTCTGTGTATTGATAACTAGC